ATAGAAACAATATCTAAATTAACAAATAACAATTTGATTAAAGAACTAAAATTTGAACTGAACAATTTTCATTTTAACATAGATTAAATCAAGCTCCTAATCTCAATTTTTTAATTAGTAAAAAATTAGACTACTATATTAAAATTGCAAAGAAAGTTTCAAAATTAACTACCGTATGCTATATTTATTATAATGAAAATTCAAGTTTAAAATATTTAGTTTTATTTTTTAAAATTGTCTAGTATTAATTATCGATATGATAATTATAGTGTAGTTTAAAACTTTAACCTAAAATACTGTGATATTTTAATATGTAGAAGCCCTGCAATGTATCTATCGATACGATATGGGAGTATAAACCTAGAAAGTGGTGGTCAAGTGGTAGATGTGATTGAGGCGGTGGCACATCCTTCGTACAGTGATTGGACGCTCGACAACGACATCGCTCTGATCCGTACGAAAACACCAATTTCTTTAGACTCGTCGACGGCGAGTGTGATCGCACTGCCAGAGCAGGACTCGGATGTGGCGTCCGGACAGTCGGTTACTATAACCGGTTGGGGATATACTACTGAATCGGGACAACTCGCGCCAATTTTGCAAAAGATTTCAATTCCAGTGGTTGATAGAAATGTTTGTCGAGAAACATATAAAAATTATAATGAAGTCACAAATAGTATGCTTTGCGCGGGTAATCCCAAAGGAGGGGTGGATGCGTGTCAGGTATTACAACAAATAAATTACACTGTAATCCCTAATTGCATAAGATTTAAGTAAAACATATTCATTGACAACTGAAGGGAGACTCTGGAGGGCCTGTAGTGGCGAATGGGATTCTTGTGGGTGCCGTGTCGTGGGGTTACGAGCAGACCTGTGCCCAACCCGACACTTATGGGGTTTACACACGAATTGCCAAATTCAGGGATTGGATCAAAATTAAAACATTGATTTAAATATATTGATAATGACGGTGCTAAAAACTTAAACTAGTAGTCTTATTCAATTATCTACTAAAGTTATAACTAAAATATTATTAATTAGATATTCCTGTAAACATATTTAAAATTGCTTTATAAAGGAATATTCAGTTATGATCGTTATTCAAATACCATAATTAAAGCTTATCAATTTATTGGATATTTTAATAATAAATAATATTCTTATATTCTATTAATAAATACAGTATAATAAATGTATAATAAATTAAAAAATAAACTTTAAGGCAAAGCATTGAAACAAATACAATTAATTATATTAAGATTCTAAAAGTTGCAAGGACAGTGTTAAAATTTAGTTTTTATGCGAGTATAATATTATCAGCAATTCTGTAATCTGTATTAACAGTTGGAGTACAGAATGAAAAAGTGAAGTTAGAAATATAATAAATATATGATTTGAATGCTCACCACTAGATGTGAGGCCCTATATCATAGACGAGAGCATTAAAATAGGATATGAACGACGTTTTGCTAAATAAAGCCCTTATGACCCCATTTCGCATATAATTCGCCCTTTTATGCAAAAAATGAACTTTTATTTCAAAACATATTCTGTGGAAATGCTCTATATATCAGTCAATGCATTGCATTTATTTTATGTATTACGGTTTCACATAAATATTACAGTTGTTATAATGCATTTTATTTAGTCTCTCGTTTTATAGTTAGCTCTTTATATGATACAAAAATACAGTACTAATCAAATATATTTATATAGTACTATAAATAAAATGTATAAATTTTCATTAATTTATTGATAAACAGTAAAATTAAAATTCTAAATTATTTCGAAAGTTAATTAGTTAATTAGAACAAAGTATTTTATTAATTGAGTATAACATTTAAAAATAAATGTAAAACAATTTATTATAAGAAATAGTTGATTAATTGTAATTGAAATGATTAATAAATGCCGCAACTCAAAACTCCAATATATTTGGTGGGCACTAACTTTACGCGTGATATTAGCCAAATATAGTGATCTGATAAGATAAGAGATCTATTGGAAAAAAGTTGTCAAATTGTCAAAAGTTGTAAATTTACTTGACAAGTTAGTTTATTTAGTGTGTTTGCCA